ATAATTTTAGTTGCAAAATTATTCTATATATAACAGAATTATATTTACTTACAGTCTTATAAACTTGTAGCCATACGTGTATCCACTCACGACGGGCTCCTGGCAATATCGTAGCCTTTAGGTGGTGAAAATCGTTCCTTCAAACTAGTCCATAATTGAAATGAATCTTTCAAGGTTAAATATTCACTTTTAAATCCTTTATCGAGATGATGGTGAATGACTTGATGCTTCAGTTCCTTCTTTAATAGTGTCACCAAGACCTTTAGCGTCAAAGTGAATTTTAGTATCAAGTACTCATGGAAAATAGTTATTCCCAGAGATGTCAAGTGCCACAAATTCAAGCTTTGACAAATTTAACATAGTCATAGAAAATAAGCGAATTAGAATGATAAGAATTATTATCAATGAAATTATTCAATGCAGAACATAATTGTGTATTAATATTCTATATATATAATTGTTAGAACAAATAATTATGTGTAGTGCGATAATAAATTAGTGTTTAATATTACACACAAGAACTTTAGACATGTAAGTATATTTCCAGGGAATAAATAAGTTGAAGTAATCTCATTAATAGGTACTAGTATATTGTTTTCTACTTAGAAGATGTTTAAATAAGTGTCATTACTCAAAATTCAACTAGTCATGATGGCACCTAATCCAACCCGCTAGGTAAGCCAATTTAACAAAAAAAAATCCAATACTAATGAGATTTACTGAGAGAAATAAAGATAATATAACTGAACTTCTATACAAAGAATTCCCAAGGACTGGTAGTACAAATCATAAGTTTCTAAAATTTAGAGTTTACAAAGTAGGTATGAAATAAATACATCATCTGTTTGAAATATACATGAACAAATTAAAAATTCTAAAGCTACCAAGAACAAGAGGCAGCTATGACCTGAACGCAGGTACATCTTCAAATCCAGCTCCCGCCATACACAGCAACATCAACATCTAACATCTGCACGCAGGGTGCAGAAGTGTAGTATGAGTACAACCGACGCCATGTACTCAATAAGTAACAAACCGAACCTTAGGTTAAAAGCAGTGACGAGCTTGCACAAAGTTCAGAGTCCAACACCAATAGCCAGGAATAATTCGTAACAATATAAGAAAAACAATACAAGCAATGACTCAAAAATATGTTGTTCAGCTCGTTCACAGTCACGGAAAAATAGTCATGCTTCTCAGGTATAATAGTAAAAACTAAATCTTTCACCGAAAATACCAAAGTATGAGTAAGTCAGAAAAACTGTGATTTTTCCCAAAACTTTTCAACAATAAATAAGATGTTTCATTATCAGATAGAATGAGGAAAGTATTCTCTATGCTTACATGTCAATGTGCACGTGAAATCATAAATGTTACCAAAATCGGGTAGCATGAGGAAATGCATCCCTATGCTTGTATGCCAAGTATGCATGTCAAATGCAATGCATCATAGTGATAAACTCATGTACTCACACTCTCAGAGTACTCAATCTCACGGTCTCACACTCCCACTCATCACGCTCAATCACTCAACACACTCAGTCACTCAGCACTGTACAGGGGCAAATCCAGCCCAGGGTAGATCCATCCCAAATGCTAATAAATCCTGTTGCGGCGCGCAGCCCGATCCCATCGTGAATCAATAGCAACTGCGCTCACTGTGGGTGTGCAGACTCCGGAGGGGCAGATCCAGCCCAAGCGCTATAATAAACCAATCATGTCATGAATCAATAAAGCATGATGCGGCGTGCAACCCGATTCTATAAATATCATTCACAAACAGGCCCTCGGCCTCACTCAATCATCAATCTCTCAAGCTCACAATGTCATGAAAATCAGCCCAAAAATAATGATATGATGTATCAATAAATAGCAACAGAGACTGAGATATGATATGTAAATGAATGAGTATGACTGAATATGTAACTACAATTTAAGCAAATAACTCCGCAGCAGATATGACCTCGGTGGGTCCCAACAGAATAAGCATATAGTCTAAACATGGTTTCTAACATAGATCACAACTCAATTATTCTAACACGTAAAAATCTCATGGATAAAAACAAGATTAGGTAACTACATAGTACCATAGAAACAACCGAGTCATAATTCACACGGTGCACGCCCACACGTCCGTCACCTAGCATGTGTGTCACCTCAACACCAAAACCATAACACTTATATTCAGGGGTTCATACCCTCAGCACCAAGTTTAGAAGTGTTACTTACCTCGAACAAACCAAATCCAATATCGAGCAAGCCAAACGATGCTCCAAAAATGCCATCTCGCGCATACCGACCTCCGAACGGCTCAAAACTAGCCAAAGGCAACTCAAGAACATCAAATAATGCCAAAGGAAACAAACCTAATCGATAAAGGTTGAATCTTTAATCAAAGGCCCAAGGTTGACCAAAAAGTCAAACCTGGGCTCGNGAGGATAGATTCATGAAATATAATCAAAACCGAGTAGAGAACACTTACCCCAATCCATATGGTGGAAATCCTCTCAAAAATCGCCCAAATCCGAGTTCCCTAGCTCCAAAAATATTGAAATGAGCTTATAAAAATAATTGCCCAATAAAAACACTAATGCGGTCGCTAAAAGTCCAATACTCGTCTCTAAAAGTACCAAATCTGGTCGCTAAAGGTGCGCACGAGAACTTGCTTGCACCATCAATTTATTTTTCGATAAAAAGATTATAACTCCCTCATACGAACTCGGAATTCGACGATTTTTGTTCTTATGAGTCATAAATAATAATACGAACCTAATCGTTTAGTCAAAACTCAATTTGGAGCTCATTTTATCAATGTCATACCAATTTCGCTCGTTAAATAATTAACTCATGCTTTGCAGTAATAACCCAATCGCGGCTTAATAAAATTAGACTAAACCTTATAAATCATTCCTATAAATCATTATCAAACTCCCAGAAGTCTCGAAATCGAATTCTGATCTCTAGAACTAAAAATCGACCTTTGGATCATTATATGCTCATGCTCAAAACAATGCCAAAATACCAAACACGTTAAAAACCCATCTGAAACTCACCCGAGCCCCACGGGATCCCAACCAAATATACCAACAAGTTCTAAAATATGATACGAACTTGCTCGGGCGATCAAAATAAAAAATAACATCAAAACTACGAATTCAAGCTTTATAAAATCAAAACTTTTAATCTTTCAAAAACAAACGGAAAACGTGCCTACGCACTTCGAAATAACTTCGAACTTTGCACAAAAGTCATAAATATTGTTACAAAGCTGCTCAAACTCTCGGAATCCAAATCGGGATCTGGTATCAACAAAAATTCAATTATGGCCAAATTTTGGAATTCAAAGCTTTTCAAAGTTAACAATATTTCGGAAAATTACGCCAAATCACTTTGGGACCTCCAATTTAAAATCCGGGCATATGTCCGAGTCTGAAATTATCATCCGGACCTAACGGAACCATCAAAACTCCAATCCGAGATCAAATACTAAAAAGTCAAACTTGGTCAACTCTTCCAACTTAAAGCTTCCTAGTTGAGAATCATTCTTCCAAATAAATTCTGAATCACCTGAAAAACCAAAACCGACGCTTCACACAGGTCATAATACATCATATGAAGCTACTTGGAACTTCAAATAGCTCAACGGAGTGCAAATGCTCAAAACAACAGGTCGAGTCGTTACGATAAGCTAAGTAGGCATAAAGCTAGATGATATCAATTCTGTCAAGTGTCAACATTGAATATAATTTTATGTAATATTTAAGTCATTAATTTTAAAGTCATTAATTAGTTTGTACACTTAGGTGATAAATTCATTGAAGGCATGTTTAAACCTTTTAAATATTTTGCAAGAATTCTTTCTAAATACATATTCTGTCAGATATTTGGATGTAGGCTTAATTAGTCTAATTAATGTAAATCAATTTCATATTAATAATTATTTATTTATGTATAGGTTTAAACTTCTTCGTAAATTATATGATGAAATAACAATTTAACTAAAGCTTATTGTTTTCATACCAAGGCAATTATTATAATCATATTCAAAACAAGTTATGCATAAGGTAATTAAATTGCACGTTAAAGAAGATCCTATTAGAAACGTTATAAACATAGGAATGTATACCTGAGTCGGAAAAGAAATTGACTACCTCTTTTAGGAAGAAGAAAAAATTCGGATGAAGCAGATAACCCTAGCTGGTTAGAGCCTCGTGCTGATAACGTGTTATAAAATTATAGCAATATAAGACAAGAAATATAGATAAAATTTTTCTTCCATCAAGTTGTATTCAAATCTATCTTATTGATGTCTTTTGTAGAATCAGAATCACCATCTATATAGTGTACAATTTACTTGAAGGTTACAATATGTTAAATGAGTATAATAAACATATTTATATACAGTCCGAAATGGTTCATGTATGAGTTGTTGGACATCCACAAATTCAATGTATTCATGACAAGTACTAAATTTTCTGTTTATTCTTGTTGGGTAATTAGTATGTACGTAGAAAACATTTAGGATTAGAGAGCCTAATTTATCAAAAATTAGAATGTAACAGGCCTAGACGGAGCAAAATAAATAGCTTAGAATTGAGACTTAGTTGTAGTAGTAGTAATGTCGACATAGCGTGTTATCTGTCAAAGCAATAGGTAGCTCTAGAGTATTCATCACGTACAATGTTTATCGAATTGTATGGAATTTGGATCCTCGTAGCATAAGAGGCAGGGAAGCTGTATGCAGTCTACCTTATGATAAAATGGGAAATTAAACAAAATTAAATAATGGATGAATTTCCAACCAATTGCATTTCTTAGCAAGAGTTTATTTTAATCCAGAATCATATAAACTGCATCAACAAAAAGCTACTATTGATCAGATGATGCACAAAAAACCATGAAATGCATTAATTAGGAAGAACACAAACGTATCGAATTGAAGAAAAGAATTCAACATGGGGATATTGGGACACAAATAATTAACGTGTCTCAGCAGTAGGTGAGGAATGAGAGATGAAAATATTGATTGTTCTGCAGTCGATCTTCGTTGAATATCTGGGATATAGAGCGCTCTCATCAGCAATATTTCAAAGTAAACAATTAGTAACATTTGGTGTTGATTTCTCCCCAATTACATTTACATACTTCCTAATTGCAATAACATTGATGCATTAAACAATGAACGATATTACTGTACGGGTAATCCAGTGGCTTCATAGGCAGACTCCTTGAAGGTTGAAAGTAGCACTGGCTAAATAGGCAATGTTTACCCTTCGAGAATCTGAAAACTTAGTGTTAGCGTGTAGAAATCCTTCTCTGTACTGTTACTACAACTTTCTACCATGGACTTTAAAGCCATTTCGTAGTGCCCCTGTGTCATTTCTCTATCTCCTCCTGAATTTGACCTTCTGTATTAACAGATAAAGTTAGATAAAACATCGATGACCACACAAAATACAACAAAGTCTAAACTCTCACCAGCAAGTTCAACACCCAAGTTAGCCTGAACATCCGCATCGGAGTTTGATTCCTATTAAAAGGAAGTTCACAATATGTTAAATCTTCAAAAACCAGTAAGGTAACACTCTTAGGTAACTCCAACAGAGAGAAGAAAGAGATGATTTGCAGAATTACCCGAAGGACATGAATGATCCGGAAAGAAAGAAACCTATCTTTCAGTTGTTTTGCCTGCTCATACAGCGTGGAGATGTTTTGATTTTTAACCTTCCATAGGCCCTGTATCTGTTTGGCAAAACACACTTCAATGAATGCATATATCAAAGGGATTAAAGAAGAGAAACGAAATAACAAATCATACTGCAAAGAGTAAACTAGTAATTAGGACCAACTATTTTGCAAAGTAATAATCACTACTGCTTCCAAGTTAATCAACCATGCGAAAACAATATCTCAACGAGATCAACTGTATGAGGTACAATAAAGCATCAATGAAAAGATGAGCAAAGTTCATCCTACATTTTACAGGGATCATACAGGGATGAATCTTGAATATAAGCTCATTTTGTTCCCTGCCAAGAGAATTCTTCCTCCAGGTAAGACAACTTTTTGCCCACTTCTTCCTCGCTATCTCTTTATCTTTTCCCAGTAGCAGGAGCCTCTCTCTTCTAGGTCTCTCCCAGTTTGCCATGTAGGTCATTCATCGATTGGCTTTGACACGAAAGGATGCAATAATCAACCTAAATTACTTGTTAAGGTTCCTCATTGCTTCAAAATGCTCTGAACCCATATTGTCTATCACTAGTTAACACAGAACATAAGTTTAACAGGGGGCTTGATTATTATCAGTTTTAACAGACTTTATTTTTTCTTCTCCAACACAGAAGGTCCAATTATTACTGATGTCAGAGGTAAGGAAAAGCCTTGTCATATAAAAATAAAATAAAATCATTAAGCGGAAGTAACTTGAGAAAAGGCCCTCTGGCATAATACTGTTGACGACCTCAAGGAGTAATGGACAAGCAATATAAAAAATTGCCAGGAGCTGCATATTCAGATGCTACCTGCTGGACCTTTGAACATGCAAAGAAGGATTCCATTGATCCAGAATATCAAACCACCACCACCACCCCCCTCCCCCACCACCCCACCCCAAAAAAAAAGGAAGAGGAGAATTTCATTGATCCAACTAATAAATGCAATACCATGTTAAGAGATGGAAATGTAAGAGGTTTTAGTAGTGCAGTGCATGACAAAGGACAAGTGTCAGATCAAGCATATAAAAGGAGAAACATGATATTAAATATATCTGAAAAGCTAACCTGCATACATACAAGTTTGGCGTCACCCTGAACACGAATACTAGTAAACCCTTTGCTAAGTGCATATTTCAACCCCAAAATAATGCCTCGATATTCAGCAGCATTGTTTGTTGCTACTCCTAAACCTTCACGTAGCCTACAGATCTTTTATTTGGAGGGTCGTAAATCATAAGTTTGAAGAATAAGGAAGAAAACACAAATCCCAAAGTCAGTGATTATTACAAAACAGCCATCATCAGCTCGTAGCACCGCTCCTGCACCAGCTAGTCCAGGATTTCCTTTTGAAGCACCATCAAATTCAAGAGTACATGACCGCTGCTGACAATAACAATGATCAGCTTCTTTGCACGCAACACCATAAACCATCAAGAAAATTTAGAAAATCTCAACCCGGTAGTTTGCCACAAAGAATTTAGTTTTCACAATTAATTTAGTAAATTAAGATTTTTGCACTTGGCAGCCCATTAGGTATAAATGAAATTTACCCTTATTTAAATTTTTAGATAAAGAATTTTGCTCTGTCAATTTAAGTACAGAAAGCATTTATGTTTTACAATTAGCCATCGTTTAACAGCCACTCACACCCGATGACAGAGCTTGGTCACCCTTATGATCATCTAACTTGACATGCTTTCTTAGGAAATCATTTGAAATAACTGCTGGTCCAACAGCATCCTGCAAACGAACATGGCCAAAAAAACAAATAGTTTCCAGAACAGTGTCAAGCCAAACTATCCAGGGCAGAGAAAGCAACTAATCATCAATGTACTACTTTGAACCAAACATATATATAAACCACCTTTCTATAAGTGGCTAGAAGAATATAGTGTACTTTAACAGAAGAATATTGCAAATACACATCAACCAACAATTGACTCTACCTACTTCTTCATGTACAAAAAGAAGTCGCAATACGTCCAGTTAAAACCCAACCCACTCAAGATTTTGTTTATCAACCAATATGTAGTACCGTTCTTGTTCAATGCTTAATGCAGGCTATACCAAATACTAAGCTTTCCTTTTGATGGAGTGACAAGCACATACAAATCTTTTAGCTAAATCCGTGATCCTCACCTCTAACTAAAGAAAAATAACAACTAGGGATGGCAATGGGGCGGTGCGGATGCGGGGTGGTGAGGGTTTCAGCTTATGCGGGGCGGGTGCGGGGCGGGTTGAAATATTTTTTTGTTAAACTCAACGCGGTTGCGGGTTTTGGGGTAATTTGATCTTTCTGTAGAATCTGGTTATAAAATTCTTCCCCTAAGCCGCTAAGCATGCAGTTTCGATCAATCTTTCTTATTCCTTTACGGCTTTACCACATTATATCCGGTGTTTATTCTCTCATCTTAAAATGATATATTACAATAAATCTGCTTTCTTTCTAATAATGCTTTTGATTGGATTTAATTAGCCCTAAAATAAAGAAAACAGCTAGCTCTGTTAGTACAAGTTAACAGATTATGCGGTGCGGGTGGAAGCCTTTGCGGATTAAGGCAAAACCCGCACCGCAACCGCCCCGCGCCACTGCCATCTCTACTAACAATCAACCACCTAAGTCATTATAAACTACCATCCATCCCAAGATCAAGGATCACTACAGCTCCTTACTTTCTTCCCAAAAAACATTGGACTAATTATATCAGAACAACATCTATATTCTTGAGAAGGCCCTTTGAGCCCGAGAGAAAGAAAAGAAGCAGCAATAGAATTAAACTTTGAACTTCAGTTCCTTTTGATGTTTCTACCATTTTTTCCTGCTTTCTCAAAGCACAAACATGGTGAAGTAGCATCTTTTAGTCATTGCCAGTAAACTCAAATTAAGGATCCGGATCTAGAAGGTAGGTCAAGCAGAGCTAATAATGTTACAATCAAGATAAATTCAAGTGTAGTTTATCAACTTTCTTCGAGAAAAGAAAATTTCTTAACAGGAAGAAGGATGCTATAGCTATGTGTAAGACGCATGTACAAGTAACTATTGGTTTTGGAGGGACCGGGGCGCTAGGCATTTTCTTTCTTCTGCCCGCAGGTGTGATCAATGTCATTGAGCCAGTAGTCTTATTCATTTCTGATGTTTCAACATACGAACTTTTTCTTAATGGGTAAAGAAACCATTATCTAGGAATGTTATTTTAAGATCCATAGCTACATTATGAATATGGTCACAGAACTACAGAGTCTCCAGTGATATAACTTAATCTTGCATCGTCCAATTTATAATTCCTTAGACAACAAAAGGAGAGCTCCAGCAGCAAAAACATACAGACAAACTAAGCAAGTATGACCTGCTAACATCTCAAAGCCCTGCAAATCTTAGTTTGCTGGATGGAAATATAAAGAAATAAACATGTCTTATCAACCTTCATAAAAAAGAACCTCTTGTCAATAGAAGAAACCAACAGACTCCACATATCACCAAAAAGAAAATATTTAACCCCTACTATAATAGTCTCCATTTGTGAAAATCTTGCTCATAACTAGAGCTGACTTGCTTGAGTCTTTCCACCACATGACATTACCACTTGTCTATTAAAAGGTGGCCCCGGTACAGCAAAAAGATATCAACAATTCTTTAATAATGAATAACTTACAATAACATACAAATTTTTTAATTGAAAAGGAAGTGCTACTTATGAGAGAAAAAATGCCTTTCCAGTTGATTTAGTGACAGCATTCTTCTGCGGTTGTGAAACCATAAGTTATGACCTCTTAAAGAAAAAATGCAAGGAAACTCCTAACACTAAGAGCATGCTTCGGTCGCATACGAAAGTGTGTACACTGACTTCCTAAGGAGCCAAATAACTTCAGGAATAAAGTAATTAAACTCTCAGTGTACAATAAGAAGTGAAGAAATCACAGAGGCAATTGCTGCAAATTCTGGTAGACTTTACCCAGATTAACATAATATGGCCTTAACTTACCGAATATTCTGACCACATTACTTCCTGTGACCTCTTCTTTGGCATATGTTCAGGCATCCCACCTTTCGAAGAAGAAGGTTGCTGCGAGGAATGAAATGCTAATAAATTAGTACGACCAGTCAAAAAATAAAAAAATAAGAGGAAAGATGTGTCATTTTCAGGCGATTGCACCCCTTTATGATCACAAGCAGCTCATCTGACTGACCAGCATATGATTACTATTGCCAAAGAGTGACGAGAGAAATATACACAAAGAAAGAAAACGAGAATATTAAATAGAGGATTAGAGAGAGGTAAGGATCTTTTCTGCCAATGTTTATTGAATTACCACATGAAACAGGATTGTCACATCATATTGGAACTTTCTTTTTTTTAATAAAGCACATCATATAGGAAATTAACTTGGGTAGAGTACGAACCTACAATTAATGCGTCAACTGCATTTAGAGAAGATCTCTTAATCTGGATTATATTGACAACATAGAAAAAATAGCAAATAAATATGTATACCGCACATAAGGTAATGTAATGAAAATCTCAGATTTTTTATCCTTTTTGGCAGTACCATTTGTTGATGAAGTGAGATTGCAGTATAAAGTTTAGAAACTTTCAACTTTAGTTGGGGGATGCAGTACTAATTCATCCCTTATATAGCACAAAGGCAAAAGTAGTGTTTTTTCCAGCCACTCTTCACGGTTGGACTTCGCGATTTTTAGTCCTAACCCTTCACACACATGATACAAAATCAGCTAGTCATATCATGGTCTTATTTCCAGATATCAAACCAATAAATACATGAGATTTCCGGGGTTTCTTTAGCTAATGGCTTTTGCCTATATTTGAAGTTCCAGCGGCCAACATATGAAAATTCCACCTTTTATTGGGATTGTTTGATCGGTGATGATTATTCAAATCAAGTGGAAAGGAAACTTCAAATTTCCAAGTATCAACTATCAAGTAGTTCTGACAAGGAAACTTGCACATTAAGATCTATCACATCAACCTCACAATAGATCAGATTGATTGAAAGAACCTACTTGTAGAAAGAAAGGTAAAATTATCACCCACCTTGGTGAAAACATCGTGAAACGAATACGAAACCATTAAGAATAAATGATAGATCTCAGGAATTGGCTTACCTGAAAAGGGCATGGTATAAGAGTCCCAAAGAGATCTTCAGTCAGATCAGCAGCTCTGATAGAATAAAGAGCATTTTTAAGCCCACAAGAGAGCAGATATTCCTCTGTGTCCTTAGGCATGGCATAGCCTTTATAGACACTCACAGGGGGATCACATATCTGCCAGGAAGAGCAAGCAGCAGAAAACAACTGATTAACTCATTGCAAGTGAACATCTTCACAGGGAGAACAATCTCAGAAGCATCATGCAACGGCTGTAAAGTTTAATCACTCCATACAATATGATCTCAAAGATGCCAGTTGACAACTTCTCAAAAACAAAAACAAAAAGGATGACATCTGACGATATGCAGATAAAGTGGCACGAAGATGATAACAATACAAAAAAGCATGTGTCCAGAATGTGGAAAAAAAAAGAGTAAACTATCCTGATGATGCAGGGAGAAAGTGAGAAACAGAGAGAGAAGGGGCCTTAGAAGTAAAAGGAGAACGAATCACAAATAGAAGGATAAAACTCAACTCACTTAACCTATGTTTTCGTGATTTCTTTGAAGCTTGAAACACATTAGTTTACAATAGTAAATAGACAAAAGAATGACCTGGAGATATATTGTTTAATTGTCACACTCATGAGGGAATTCCTAGACTGTTATCAAAGTCATTCAAACACACTTAGCTGAAGTTTTGGTAATAAATTCAGGTTAATTATGGATAAACAAGGTTCTGGAACAGAAACTACTATTGCATATTATTCATCAAATTAGAAAGAAGCACTAGTTTCAGAGGTCAATAAACAAGAGAAAAATAATGGTTACCGAGGATCCGACTTGAGTCTGGCAATCACTCAAGTTTTTGTAGACTCCAACCAGATCTCCTTTCCTAACAACAAAGAAACCATCTCTATCTTCCTTCATTTTTGGAGTAGGATCAGACTTCTCTGAGCTAGAACTATCCCCACTAGACTTTTTAGATGAATAGCAGCGAAAGCAAATTCTCTTCAAAAGCAAGTCGGAATCAACTTTTCTAGTTGCATTATGTCCAACACCTGTCTTCCATGAAAGAGCTGAAAATGCACCAATTGAACTCTTCACAGCACGACTGTTAGTCCTTGTTAATATTGCAACGGAACATGCATTAAACAAGACGTTCATTACACAGGACCTCACTCAGAATCAACCAGTTTCTGGAAAAAGAAAAAAGAGAAAACAAAGTCATTTTTCTTCATTCAAAATCATTTTCATTTTGCGAGCAGAGAACAGAAGAAAGAAAACACCGATTTTTTTTTTTTTTGATGAAGTAAAAAGTTTCAATAAAGGCATCAAGAAGATGCTAACAGATCCACAAAGGATTACAAAAAGGCACAGTTAGCTCCAATACACAAAAAAAGTAGGCTATGCTCGGGCCTCGGGGAGCTAACAAATTTAAAAACTGAAAAGCAGACTTTACAGTGGATTAGTAATACCAGCTTTCCTTCTAGAAAATACCAATTTATTCAGCCAAATCTTTATGTGTTCCACTTCTATAAACACGTTACCAAGTGAAAATTTCAGCACACAGCTCACCAAGGTTAAAAGGTTAGGAAAAAAATTAACTTGCACCAAGTGTTTACACAGGTTTAGTTAATTTAGCTAAGAAATCTTATTCACAATTAAGACAATTTAGTTTATTTCTAAGTTGCTCGGACTCTTGACTTTCGGTGCCCCACCCGTGTCAACACGATATGAGTGTGGGTGTGGGATCCGTAGTGGATATGGTTAATCGATTTTGGGTACTTTGACCAAGATGGACGGTGAAACTCGGAACAGTTTTTGAAATCAAAATAAAAGTTAGAGTGAAATTGAAGAAAAACGAATACCTTTTATATAGAAATTTCTATGTCAATCCTTTTCTTTTATCTCCTTCTCGAATTCTCCTTTGAAAACGTAGAAGGCCTACAAATTCCAATTAGAAAATGCTTTTCTGTTTTCTTATTAGCTTATTTCAAATGTTAATGTTCTTTCACTTTTTATGGTTTTGAACTTGTAGTCCATAATACTACTATAGTTACATGGGTATAAAATTAAGTGAACAAATATTTAAAAAATTAGTTTATATCATGTGTGAAACACATCTTAATTAATCAATTTTAAATGGTAAAAATTTAAGCTTATAAAAAAAAATAAAAAAAAGGCACATCTACTATATTTATTTATGGTTCAACTTTTTTTGTTTGACCATCTACGTCTGGAACCCGACTAATACATTCGTGCCTCACAGGGCCTATTTAAGGGAAACACTCCCTATTTTTGGTGGGTATACTTTTTCTATAGGTATATTACATATGAGAACTTCCTTTTGATTTTATAAAAAAGAAAAAAGAAAAAATAAGCTTCCTTTTCATTCTTCTTTATATTATATTCTAGTTCTTTCCCTTTTCAAAACATAAAGAACTTTTTATTTTTTATTTTAAACCTTTAAGATAAAACCCAAAAAAAAAAACACAACAGAGCTTAATGGAGGCCTCTTCCCTCTGCTCCCAAAATCCAAACTTCGAGTCATTTCATCATTGGAAAACTACCCTTCCCCACATTTTAACTCTCAAAACACCAAGGATTTTCCTTTGATCTGGTTGAAAGTTATCCAGCTTGAGTTACGAGAGTATGAACGGGGAACCTTTCCTTGAATGAAGAAACTCTTCTTTATATACGCAACTAGATGAATAGCCACATCGAATAAAGGAAGTAAGAGAAAGGAAGCCATAGAATAGTTCTAATCGTGAAATTTCCAATCTTTCCATCAAATTGAAAAGATTAAGAGAAAACTTTAAATGGGTTCACATACATTGACAAGTAAAAATTGATAAACGAAATTAGAACCCTAATCAAAATGGGGTCAGCAAAATAGATGTGTTTAGCTAATAAATACAAACATACCATCAATTGGAGGATGAAACTGCACCAATCTTCTTGGGGCATGAAGAATACCCTCGTAGGGAGCGTGAGAGAAGGGGGTTGGGGTATAGGGGTGGGTTAGAGGGTGGGTGGTTAGGCGTGGGTGGGGTGATAGAGTTTTTTACTTTCACCAGTAGTACTGTTGTAAGTGGGTTTTGCGGGTTAACCCGGTAGGGTTTTTCGAATTTGGTTCCGGTCCGGTTGTTGTGTTTTTTCCGTTCAACAGGTCCGGTTCGAGTTGACTTCTATGTTTATGTTTCATTTTTGTTTATTCCTTTTAAACAAGAAAACATCCTCTATTTTAATTTTGTGCAGGTTATTGATTGATCAATACAATTGTTTTTGTGATGAATCTTGAAATTTATTATTTAATCAATGTGATTTGATTGTGAATTAAGTGATTAAGTAATCGAGAGAGGTTTTACCAATTTAATTTGTTATTTTAACTCGAGAGATGGAACTTAGGTGGAGTAATGAGTTAATTAATAGGCATTAATTTTGAATATTAATTATATTTCAAATAATAAATTATTAGTTAATTACTTAATCAATCACTCTTGATTAATTTGATTTTAGGTTGTGATGGGTAAAAACCTTCCAGAGATTACCAATTGCTCCTTGTGAATTTGACACTTGAAATATTTTTGTTTACTATACTTGTAGCTGACTAGGCTCATTTTTCTAAATTATTTGGTAAATTATATTTATTTATTTGTTTATCGGGGCAAATCAAATTAGTTAGGTCACCCTTCTGTAAGCCCCTTTATTCTTTTCTCCTCCGCTTCCACCTTCTTCTCTAAAGCATACAAATCAAGAATAGCTTATCCAGGATCATAACTCTACTCCTCTAGCTCCTCTAACCTCTCCTACTCATCCTCAAGCCCCTTGCGCCTGTCCTTCACTGCCACATCCTTCTCCAGAACATACCTTTAATGGAACACCATGCCCCATATCACACCTCTATTACTTTTTCTCTAATCCTCCGTACCTCTCTTACTAATCCTCGATGCCCTAGTTTAGTAATTATTACCTCCTATCTAAACTTTCCAGGAAATAAGGAAATAGAGATTGCACCATTACCTCCCTCTCACACTACTTTGCCAAAAATAATAGTTAATTATTATGGCTTTTAGATTGACTTAATTACTTCTAATTTTTTTTAATTTAGATATCATTACTATTTTTACTGTAGAATTAGACTGTATTTTTCCTTTTCCAATGATCATTAAATAAATTATCAATATTTTTTGGTAACAAAATTTAACCAAAACGATAAAGTGCAAGCTAGTGATTGACACTTGATCAAGTAATCCATCTGTATCACAGGAATCTACCACTTTCCAACACGGCCTAGGTCATGAACATATCATCATTGAACCCCTCTGCTCATGAAAAGTGACGATGAACCCAAGTATAATGAAGTTGTCCAATACGATTCAGATCATGAATATATAAGGTTAAATACCTAGATATATTTAATGACCTAACCGGTCGTTTTGAGTATTAGAACCATATTTTTTTAATTTCATTCTTTTCGTAGGTTCATTTAATTTATGAGACTTGCAGGGATGGACGATTTGGTTTTTGTGGGCTTCAGGAGTGAGTTGGAACACTTAGTTTTATTTTAAAAGTCTTAAGTTGTAAGAATTGACCAAGATTTGACTGTTGAGTAAATGACCTCGGAATCGGGATTTGAAGGTTTCTATAGGTTCGTATGATGATTTTAGACTTAGACATATGTTCGAATTTGGTTTTGTAGGTTCCTAGGTGGATTCGACACCATTTGTCGAAAGATGGCATTTTGAAGGATTTTGGAGTTCATAAGTTTAGCAATAGTTGACTTTATGCTATCGGACTCCGATTAGTATCTTGGAACTGTGGATAGGTTTGTGTATCTGAATTGAACTTGTGTGCAAAGTTTAGTAGAAATTAGAGATGTTTAGGTATGAATTGGACACTTGGTTGGAAGTATAGAAGCTTATGAACTTAAAAAAGTTCAATATGTCGTTTGGCCTTTGATTCTTATATGCAATATTTTTCGTATCTATTTTGAGACCTTTGATAGGTCCTTATAGTGTTTATAGACTGTTGAAATATTTGGGCGGGGTCCAAGAGGGCTCGGGTCAGTTTTGGACCACCCAGAGCATTTTTGAAAGTTGATAATTTGGTGTTGCTAGTGTAGTGCTTCGGGATCGCGGAGCTAGAGGCTCGCGATCGTGTAGAGTAATATGACTGGGGGACCTTGTTCTTCACGCTCGAATGAGGTTATCTGCTATCATGCAATTGTTGAAGCCAGTGTTTCGCTATTGCATGGGGTAAGGTCGCGATCGTGTAAAGTAAAGGAGATGGCTTGATTAAATGGTCTTCGCGATCGCGTGGGAGTGCGTCGTGATCATGTAGGATTAAGATCCATTTTTAATAGTGATCGCGTGAGGCCAGTCGCGATCACGATTCATTAAATTCCTGATGAGGGGTATTTAAGGGCATAACTTGGGATTTTGCTCATTTTCACATATATTGAGACCTAGAGTTCGGGAGAAGGAGATTCTGAAGGGGAGTTTAGGCTATTTTATGCCTTGGATTGACATCATATATTATTTATGACATGTTACTTCTCTTGTATGACTACATGCATTCTCTTAATCATGCTAGAAACCATATTTAGGTTTTTGGTGCCTTGTTGATCGTAAGAGGCTATTTTGACATCATGTCCTACATGTTTTAGGCGTAGTCATGCTATTCACATGTATACATCTCTGTATGTATATTTTTCACGTTCATACACATTATTTATAATATTTATGATGTATATGCATATATTGTGCATATGGAGACTCTTATATGGAATGAGGAAGAGGCACATGAGTTGTCCGTGTGGGATAAGTGTTATGGCATGATAGTTATCCATGCGAGATAAGTGTTATGGTTGATGGCGCGAGTCTTATTCATTCATAGACATTATAGTCTCATATAGTTGGAATTTATAATAATTCTCTGTGATGCATATCATGTTTATATGTTGACTCGGTGTACCAGTATGAGCTTTTGATCATTTCTTGTGTAGATCCAGGTGTTGGTACCAACAAAGCTGAGATTAGATTTGTAGTTATGTCAGGGAGACTCGAGGTAGTGCAACCTATCTATCTGCAGGCCTCAAAGTCACCCTTCCCTTTCATGCATTAAAATTATTGTTTTGTGACGACTCGATATGTCATTTTGAGTACTAGCACCTTTTCTGTATTTCGAGACCTCTCATATCTTTATTTGATAATATATGACTTGCGTGCGTAGGCCTATCGATTTTCGGATAGTTTATGTGTAAAGTTTTGAAAAATGCGATTTTTGACTTAAAATGAGGTTTGGGTTGACCACGATCAATATTTTTAGTAAACGACTCTGGATCGGTATTTTGATGATTCTGGTAGGTTTGTATGATATTTTTGGAGTTGTACTCATGTTTGGTTGGAGTCGCGGGTGACCCGAGTGCGTTTCGGCGCATTATGTGAAAATTGCCAACAGTTGAGTTTCAAGTTAAAAATCTTGAGTTTTGATGATCCATTCTTGATATTTGATATTATTTTGATAATTTGAGTTAGCGAGCGAGTTTACATGATAATAATACAATTGTGTGAATGTTCGGATTGGAGTCCGAGAGGCTCGAGTAAATTTCGGATGGGTTTTAGTTGATATTGGAAAGTCTGATGAACATTCATTACCGGTGTGAAAGCTGTAGTCCTCGCATTTACGAGGACCTGATCACAATTGCGATCCTCACATTTTCTATGTCAGGCTCGCAAATGCGAAGGGGAACTGGGGGCCGAGACTTCACATTTGCGAAGTATTCATCGCATTTGAGATCTAGGGATGGTCCTTATTTTACGACCCTGTTGTCGCTTTTACGATGACTAGGAATTTGTGACAGCTTCGTAGTTGCGATGGCTAGGGACTTCGCAAATGCAAGGTATATGTTGTATTTGCGACTACAGTTGGGCTATGACACTGATCGCATTTGCGATCAGTGGTTCTCTTTTGCAAACATCGCGATTGCGAAAAAGAATTCGTAATTGCAATATCTGCAGTAGGGTAAAATATGGGAAAGTCAGGACTTAGCTCATTTTACACCATTTTTCAACCCTAAACTCTATAGAGGCGAATTTTGAAGACGAGTTTCTTCCCAAATTCATTGGTAACTAACTTTAACTAGTTTTCAATTAATTTCAACTATTTTTTCATTAAATTAATCATCAAATCTATGAATTTTAAGGTAGAAATTAGGGGCTTTGGGATAGAATTTAGGAATTTTATAAAATTGAGTTTTAGACCTCGAATTGAGGTCGAATTTCGAAACAAATCACATAACCGGGCTCGGGGGTGAATGGGTAATCGGGATTTGGTAAGGGTTGGCTTTTATTGACTTTATTAATTTAGTTAAAGATTGATCCTTTTTCATTCTTGGGTAGTTTCTAAAGCTTGTTTTGGATTGTTTGAATGATAAGTGGCTAGATTTGGTTGATTCTTGATTTGATTTCGAAAAGAGATAAGTATCGTGGTAACTTTGACTTGAGAAAAATAGGACTTGTTTGGTCTATTCTCTACATGGATTATGTATGGGGACGACGTATTTACAAGGTGACGAGTGTATATGGGTTGTCATGGGTTCAAGCATGCGGGGTGAGATATTTATCATTGTTCCATCATTTGTTTCATGTTATATCTCATTACATGGTTTTATTGCTACATGCCATTACTTGCTATCTCTTGTTACTTGTCATTTATTCGTTACATGTTTCTATTCATTCATTCCTTGATTATTATCTGTCTTACCTACTATGTTCTCTCACCTGTATTAAATGAACGTCTTTACTATTTTATATCTTACTTGCCTTTACTGCCTTTACCTTACTTGTTGCGCTTTATTATGTTATATCCGATTGAGTGAGCCTTGGCTATTCTTGCGTTAATGACTTGTCGAGGTTCGTGTTGGCTTACAATGTGAGGATACTCTATGAATTTGAGTTATTGGTTGTTCTCTGCTTGTACACGTAGTTTCTTGGTGATTTATATGCTTTGGATCCTTCTTATGTTGTGATTTCGGAATTTGTTGAATAAAGTTGTTAACCGATATGAAATGATAATGAGAACGGGTTACACGCCATGATAGAATGGAAATGAAATGATATTGATATCGGGTTGCTCGCCGCAACAGATATTGGAAGGATATTGGGATA